TGGAATCGTAGGCTGGGACAACCATGCGGGGCCCTGCCACCAAAGGGAACACGCTGGCAGTTTATCTGCCTCTACCCCCCTCGACAGCAGGTCCGCAGGGTTGTCACTCGAGCAAACCCAGTACCAATCCTTCGCATTGGTTAATTTATTTATTTCAGTGACTCTATGTTTGATGAAGGTTGATAATTTGTCCGATTTGGAATTTATCCAAGCCAACGCCACCCTGGAATCTGACCACAAGAATGTGTTAGGTATTTCTTGTTTTAGGGCATCATTAACCTTGTTGTATAATATGGCTAACAATAAACAAGCACGTAATTCTAATTTCGGTATTGTTTCGTTTCGCGCAACCCGCGACTTCGCGCAAAGCAATCGTACAACCACGTTACCATGCCTATCAAGAGAACGTACATAGATAGCCGCGCCATAAGCTGTCAATGAACTGTCACAGAATCCGTGCAGCTCCGCCTTAATGTAATCACTGATAAGGACAAGTCGCGGAATAACTATTGAGTTTACATAATTTAATTTGTTATAAAATGATTCCCATTCATAACAAAACTCGTTAGGTAGGTTTTCGTCCCAGTTAATTTTAATTTTCCATAAACGTTGTATGAAACATTTCGCAATTATTATTAAGGGTCCTAGCAGACCCAAAGGGTCGAAAATGGCAGAGGCTATAGATAAAACCTTCCTTTTGGTTAAGTCGGTTGGTACTGGTTCTACTTCTAACTTATACCGTATGCTATCGTCATCATTTGACCACGCGAGTCCTAATACTTTATGTGTACCTGACCCTAGCGAAGTTAATTCGTTGTTATCGGTAGGTGCATGAGTAGAGTTTCTAATATGGTCCACTACAGTTTCCGAGTTGGACTTCCATTTTCTTAGGTGAAAGTTTGCGCCTTTCAAAATGTTGTCTATTTGAACGGCTGTTTTGGCTAACTCCAGGTCGTCGTCCTGACCATGAATCAAATCATCCATATAAAAGTCCGAAACTATAACAGAAGAAGCTATTGGAAATGACTTTTCGTTCTCGTCCGCGAGTTGTTTCAAACATCGAGTAGCCAAGTATGGCGCACATTTCAAGCCAAAACTAAGCGTAGTTAATTGGTATGTCAGAAGTGGCTTGTTTGGGTTATCACGCCAAAATACACATTGTAAGTGTTGTTGTGTTGGGTCAATAAATATGTTCCTATACATTTTTTTTATATCTGCACTAATAACATATTTGTGTTTTCGAAATCGAATCAAAATATTATCCAAACTATCTTGGTCCATTGTACCCTTGTGTTGTATGTCATTCAAAGACTTTCCACTACTGGTTTTACAGGATGCATCAATAACTACTCGCAAAGGTGTTGTTGTTTTTTGAGGGTTCAAGACTGCGTGGTGAGGTAAGTAATTACAAGGCTCAGAGGTGGTTTTCTCAATCATATGCCCTGCATTTATAAAATCGTCCATGAACTCTACATATTTATCTTTAAACTCTGGATTTTTCTCAAATTTAGATTCTAGTGATCGAAATCGTTTGTATGCAATTGGTAGAGATGACCCGAGACTTGTGACAGGCTCCTGAAGGGGCATTTTGACAGTGAAATTACCATCAGCTGTTCTTGTGTGTGTCGCAAAGACATTTTCACAATATGTGGTATCATCATTTGGAGATTTCAATATCTGGTCACAGTCTCTCAAAAAATTATTTGAATTAAGAGTAAAATTGCATCTTACTTGTAAGGGTTTGTTTACTACAGAGACGCAGCCTGAAACCACCCAACCTAATCGAGTTCTTTGTAAAATTGGTAAACCGTCTCCGAGACAGTGTTGGCCAATGCATAGTAGTTGGTAGAATAGTTCAGCACCGATGATGATATCGATTTCACCCCCTTTATAGAATGAGGCGTCTGCAAGATTAATTCGTTTAGGTATATTTAGACCCTGCGCACTTGGTAAGTACGAAGGCAAACTACAAATGTTAGGTACAATAAAGCAAGACAAATTGGTAGAGAATGTATTGTCCATTGAGTTTACTTTTAGGTTGCACAATTGGTTAATTTTGGTTACATTTTCATTAAACCCAATGACCTCCATATCTAATTTTTGTGCCTTTAAATTTAATTTATTAAATGCACTTTGAGTAATATAGTTTGACTGTGAACCTGAGTCCAACAAGGCTCGCATTGTATGTAATTGGTTATTGATATCTACAACAGTTATTTGCGCAGTAGAAAGCAAAATCGCTTTGTGTTGAATTGGTAAATTGTTATCAACCGTGCCTAAAGTGGTGTTGGTTATTTGTTGGTTTGTAAATAAGTTTACTGATTGAGATTCAGCATTGGTACGAATAGGTTCTGGGTTATACATAGTTGATAACTGTGGCTGTGGTAACGTACTCGGTTGTGGAGTGTCATTTTGAGTAATATGTAATAAAGTGTGGTGCTTTCGTTTACAGGTTCGACAGTTCGAAGATTTGCAATTTGGTAAGATATGGTTTGAACCTAAGCAGTTAAGACAAAGGCCTAATTTCTTAATCAATTGGATGCGTGACGGTACTTTCAGAGCCAAGAACTTTGAGCATTGGTTGATGTAGTGACTCTCTTTGCAATTAGGACATTGATTACGACGGGTATTGGTATTGTTGTTAGGTGGTACCTTACTCTGAGAGCCAGGAGAGGACGTGGCCAGCATGACCTTCCGCGCCGAGGTGGAAGGCTATTCACTGGAACCGGTACCTGCCTGGTCCAGTGTCTCTTGAAGGTCAGCTTGAGCACGCAAAAACGACTTAAATTCCTGTAACGTAGGTAAATCACGTGAAACACTTTTTTCCTCCCATTTACGTTGCATGTGCGCTTCAAGCTTAGCAGACAAGAGAAAAATTACTAATAGATCCCAACCATCAGTACAAATGTTGAGTGATTTCAGCGTTCGCATGTGCTTAGATATGTTGTCAGCTAAATCTCTTAAAGAATTGGCATTAGTGGGAACATTGCTAATGTTAATAAGAGCTCTTAGATGGTTATATACTAACACCTTTGGATTATTGTAGCGCTCACACAAAAGCTGCCAAGCTATAGCATAGCTCTCCTCGGAATACTCCAATGAGCTCACAACCTCCAGCGCACTACCCTTCAAGCAACCACGCAGGTATTTAAACTTCTGAATGGATTTCAAACTTGTCTTGTTAACAAGCGCATCAAAGGTGTCTCTGAATTCAATCCATTGCGTGATATTGCCTGAAAAGCTTGGCAAGGAAATATCAGGATATTTAATTGCATTTGAATCTGGAAAAATTTGAAAAGCATTATTGTCCTGGTTTGAATTGGATGAAGCATTATTGGGTTTATTTTGGTTTAGGTAATTCTTTGCCCTAGCCACTGACTCGTAGTAGGAGTTCTCAAAACACTCCCTCTCCTCTAACTCTTTATCTATATCTGTACTGAGAGTCTCAATTCTGTCCTGGATTTTTTCGAATTTTGAAAATACTGTTCTAACCTTGTCAGTCCGTAGCTCGAGATCTATGATCTGTTCAGCACTTTATTTCACTTTATTTACTTTATTTCAATTTATTTACTTTATTTCAATTTATTTTCTTTACTTTGTTTCAATATTTAATTCACTTAAATCTAAACGAAAAGTGTTAACGATAAAGTTTTATGACGAAAACACAAAATGCGATACCCTGGGAGAAGTTCTATCCCGGAGTAGCAATATTTCCCTACGATTTAAAAAGCATGAAAAATACACAGAGGATAAGGAGTGGAAGGATTGGCGAAAAGTTCTACTCACCAACCGACCGTTCTCTGCATACTCGTTCCACCCGTACTTCGATGACAAATTTATTTGGTTCGGCGGATTTATTAGTTTCCCGTAGTATCACGAATTTAAACGGCGGATTTTGACACCAATCGCGTAAACTTTAGGAAAACTTGCAGCAATAAATCCGAACGGCTGCGCCAGTCAGATTTCGGGAGCGGGGTGGAAGCTTTTTAAAAAGGATTATATTTAATTAAACTAAGTGATCACGTCCTCGCCGAGTTGGAGGCGATTTAATAATGATTTAATATTGTGGCCGATCGCAGTCGTCCAGTACGGTGTTTACAATTTAGTTCTGCTGACACATCTCTTATGTGAATAACAATTCTACGAATGCTTACACTGTAGAGTGGAAAGTGATGACTTATCTTGTTTAGTCTAGAGCAGAGGGAGCTGACGGATGCATAACTACCTATACCATGACCGCTACGAGCGGTTAACAGTAAGATAGGTTAAGATTTATATTACTCGATTTGTACCACTCTGCTGCCTCTAGAATATATTCAGTAAAGATCTTCACCTGTTGTATAGGTCGAAAAGTTGCATTTGTGCTTTTGCTATCGTAGGACCGTGCTCTGATAATCTTTACACCTGTTTTAATAGGTCGAAAAGGTTCATTTAAACGGTGATCGATGACGCTTTTGTCCTAGTTTCGGACAGACACACATATCGATTTTGCATGTCGCAGTTGTCAGTTAATGTGAAAGGTTAAATAGGAACTTTAAGTTGTGTGTATACTGTACTGTACGATAACTTTTCCTTGAGACATCATGAAAATGCAGTTTTGTATTGTGTTCTATTATTTACATTATTGCTTATTGAAATCACTATACTGACTATTCTACTTAAATAGTTTATGTATTTATAAATTAAAATTATTTGTAAATAGGTACGTCGTACGTAGGTACGTAGCCGCAGTCATTGCATTTTAAAAATCTTTATATGAAAATAGTACGAGTATAGAGCGTCGCGCACCTATCCTCGCCAAACTCAGTCAAATGTTTTGACCTATGGTTTTGACTTGTTAAATTATAAATGTTTTTTTAAACCTTTGGAAACAAATCTAACAAAAAAGACTGATTCGAGTTACTTGCGCTGCAACTTTTCAGCTCTTTTTATTTCCTAATAAACAATACGGAAGCTCCATGAAAAATACCTAGAATAATTCATTGAAAGTCAAGCCACTTACTTCCTGAGGTGGTACATCGTAGGTGCGCGTGCGCAGATCCACGCGGGCGTAGGAGTCGATGCAGGGCAGGATGAAGAATATACCTGAGAACAAAATAATCATTAAGCCACGTTTTCACTAGGGGACATGTCGCGGAGATAAGTCGTCCGACATTCACGTAGTTTGTCTCTGCAACAAGTCTCGCGACCCGTATATGTCGCAAGCGACGTCGGGCGACATCGCGCGGGACACGTGAATTTCGTGTCTTGCGCGCGGGACAAATGTCTCCTAGTGAAAACGCGGCTTTAGTTTCAGATATGACTCTTTATTTTGTTACTAAGTTTTAACAAGATCTTCTGATGCATAGATTTTGAAAATATATGAGAGCAATAATGTAAAGTCAAAGTCAAAATTTCTTTATTTGTATAGACTAACAAGCTGTGCCCGCGACTTCGTACGCGTGAAAACCCATTTTCGCAACATTATTCATTTTTGCTCTGCACCTATTACTCGTAGCGTGATGGTATATTGCCTATAGCCTTCCTCAGTAAATGGGCTATCTAACACTGAAAAAAATTTTCAAATCGGACCTGTAGTTCCTGAGATTAGCGCGTTCAAGTAAACAAACTCTTCAGCTTTATAATATTAGTATAGATAAATAGTGCTTACAAATCGTCTAATATTTTGCTCTTAAGGAGACCAACATTTGGCAAGTGCTGAGAAGAAGCGCCGCAACAAACTCAGTCACAACTGTCTGCCGGTTTGAAAACTGATATATTCGGTTCAGTAAGTTAGATACGTTTTAAAAAAATATTTTTAAAAAGGACTTTTTAGATTGTATACAACGGAATCATAGTCATAGTCATTTATTCCATAAACAATAATATACTGTCAACATAATGTCTTATTAAAAACTCTCCGCGTCGATATGAAATTAAATATCTGTAATGCGTAAGTAATGTCTAAATACCGGCACACTATAAATGAGAGAGAGAGCGGAAATAAACACGTGTATAAGCTTTAAGGCTACCCGCAACTGTGTGTTGTAGCAAGCAAGCAAGTGTGACGCATAGCAGCTTTACTACGAAAGCGCAGAATGTGCTACGTGCTACGGACACGGACTACGAACATTTGTAGCAGCTCAACAGTTTCGTAGCAAGCAACAGTTGGTCCTCGTATTTAGTAAATGTTCTACAAATAGGATTTAGTTGAGTATTAAATATAATAATATTTGAATGGATTAATTTTATCAAAAAATGTATTCGTTTGATGGGTGCCGGGAATAAAGCCACAATCGACAAAACACAATTTTACAGGAGAAGAGATTTAGTGTCAATTTTGAATAATTCTAAACTACGAGGCGTATCAAAACGGTTTGTATATCAAACGATGCGTTATTTTTTCTGGAGTAACATTTAATGTGCATAAGGTTATAGTGCTTAGAATATACTTTAAAAAAGGTAGAAATACATATTGCCGCTTCATACATTGAAAGTCGGTTCCGTAAGAGTCCATTGTGGTTTTATTCCGGTAAAAAGTGTGCAATTAATCAAACAGCAATAGTGTATTGCAGCCTCGGGCGCCGATCTGAAGGATACAGTAATAGCCGTTTGCTTGTAGAAGATTTAAATAAAAGTTTTAACATTGTATATGGCACGATTATTCCGGTCAACAAATTTTAAATGATGAATGGGAATAACGATTCAATATCCATAGTGCTTTTGGTAAATCAGGCAGTTTCAAAGATAAAATTCTGAAAAAAAAATTCAAAAGGTGTATTATAGGGACCCGCAGTTTACTAAAATCACTTAATCGGAAAACTGCTGCTATGACTATTGCGGCTTTATTCCAGGCACCCATCGATATAAAAATATCCTTTAATAAAGGGTTTTCCTTTCTGACGATATAACGATTTCCACGGTTTTGCATTCGTTGGAAAGGTCTCGGGCTCCGTGAGGTTTATAGCAAAGAAAATTCTGGAAAATTTAATAAACGAAATTACACGCGGGCGATGCCGCGGGCGGAAAGCTAGTGTACTATAACTATTAGATTCCGAAAATAAAATTATTATAAGAATTATGACGAAACCTCACAAATCTATCCATTAGGTAAATACCTAATCTATACTAATAATCTATACTTATAAAGAAGTAAAGTTTGTGTTTGTATATTTTTAAATTGTAAGGGGTAATCTCGGGAACTACTGAACCGATTTTAAAAAATCTTTCACCAATAGAAAGCCACATTGTTGCTGAGTGTCAATAGGTTACATAAAAAACCGAAAAATTCCACGCGGCGAAGCCGCGGGCGGAAAGCTAGTATTTTATATTATATGGTTTTTTCGCAAGCGACTTCAGTCTGACATAATTATGCATTTAAGTTGATCACTTTGATATCAATATTGCTTTAATCAAGCCTAACGTAAGATTAATTATGTTGCGTACTACTTTTGTTACCGAAAGTTGGTATTGGAAAGTTTATTATAATACTTTGCTCATTAAAAATAAAATGTTTTGACCTTGATCCTGAGAGCCGTTTACAATCTTGTCTCTAGACGTAAGCCGAGATGCCGTAACGAAGTTACTACGAGATGTGCGTAGCGTTTAAAGTTGATGGCTACGAGCACATTCAGTGCTACGGTGCCACGGAATATCTCGTACTCGTAGTAGGTACCTATTGCTTTATTTATTTATTTATTGATAAAGGTACACCAACAGCAATACACATTTAAGACATTTAAGTATTTGTTTTACTAAAGTAAGTAAAGTAAAGTTTTGTAAAATAAAGCCCATCTCAGGGTTGGTGTAAACTGCACTGAAGCAAAATAAAAATATTTTTAACGATTTCATGGAAAAGTCCATGAAATCAGGAAAATGGTATTATTACGCGGGCGAGCTATCGGACAGTCCCCCTGCTCTCCCGGGGCGGCGGACGCATGTGCTCGGTGGTGTAGCGGGGTACGCGGGGGTGGTGCGGGCGGTAACAAGCGCCGTCTTGAAAGATTTAGGAGACGTTTGAACAAGGTTTTTTATATTCAAAGTAATGCATAATAAAAAAATATATAGTTACAATGTTATTTATATTTTTCTTGTGATTATTTTCATGTTCACTACCACCCCTGAGATGAGCGTTGTTTTACAAAACCACACTCTGTATTTGTAGAGATAAATGGATGATAAAGTCGAAGACAGATTTAAAATACCTTTGTTATTGTGCAGAGACGCGAATTAATCGTAGGCTTTGTAGATTAATTTGCAATTAGGTGTTTGCAATGTGCTGTAATTAGACAGTGTTTCACTGCATAGGTATCAAGTATCAATGCGGTACACGTGGAACAATAATTAGTTGAACTATCTAACTCGTGCATTTTTAAAACCTACCTAGAAGTACGTTTAAAAACTAGATTACTCTCTTGATTATAGGCTGAAAAAATAACAAGCACGTGTATGAAAATCAATAGGTACTATAATGTACGAGTGCATGCATATGTCCAATGACATACAGAAAATAAGTAACCTAAATTGCCTGTTTCTAGACTGTTATTAAGCATAATAAGTCCTCGTCCAATACAGACATTGTAAATATGGGAAAATAGTCTTTATTGCACTGACAGCTCTTACATTATTAAATACACTGTGTTTTGCCACAGTAGAGTTTTACTAATAGCACAGAATAATAATAAGTACTCTAATAGTAAATAATCTTTTCTGGTTCCATAATATAAGAGTACGAATTTTTCCAAACGATTTCCTTTACAATATTGTAATAATGTATACTGTCTATACTGTGTTCGTTCGTTCGTTCGTTTCAGCCTAAAGACGTCCACTGCTGAGCAAAGGTCTCCCCCAAGGATTTCCACAAAGACCGGCCCTGCGCCGCTCACATGCAGGCATCTCCCACGACCTTCACCAGATTGTCGGTCCACCTAGTGGGAGGCCTGCCCACGCTACGTCTTCCGGCTCATGGTCGCCACTCAAGAATTTTCCTGCCCCAGCGGCCATCAGCTCTACGAGCTATGTGCCCCGCCTACTGCCACTTGATTTTAGCGATTCTGCGGGCTATGTCAGTCACTCTAGTTCTATACTGTGTAATTTTGATTAATAAAATACATATGGACGACGGGATACCAACCTTTCCAGCATCATATTAGCTGTAATAGCTGTAATTTCACAACTAAATTACTCGACCAATGGCGTGGTTACTGCATGTAATATCGGTTGTTGTTCTACAAGTTCTAATTATTAATTCAGTACGATTGCAACGAAAAATCGATAAAATAGCTTACACAACCTTCACAAGTTATTTTTGTCATTTTGTATGTGTGTTTATTTACGACATCGATTGGGGCACTTTTTCAAATAAAAATACAGTTGTTACTTTACTGTTTTCTTTGGCAGTTGATTGGTACATTATCTTTATTAAGTAAACAAACGTCTTTAATTCTTTTAAAATACTTCCTTAAACATTGCATCAATTATTTTAATGTGGTTGATATTACATAATATTTCTAGTGAAACTGGGAACCACAAGAAATTATTTTATACGCATTAGCGTATCATCTCGTGACCCAAATTCAAAACCTAAATTGTGTTAAAATAATAGCTATTCCCATGTAATTCTAACGTAAACTGCTAGAAAAATACAAAGTGATTTTTGTAAAACTGTCATAATTTGACCTGATTAAAAACCTAAATTTTATAATTAAGTTAATAAATTGTAGGTACATACCCGGTCCCTTAGCCCCTCCAGAAAGTAGGCGCCCGAGGCGGAAGATCACAGCCCGTTCGTACTCCTGGACCACCTGTGAAAGAGAAAACAATTCACCATCTTGTTCAAGCAGCCACTAAAACTTAATTAAGTGTAGGTAAATTGACACATATCCAGGCTAGAAAGAAAGAAGAAAAATAATTATCTAAGCAAGTCGCTACTTGAAAAAAAAAGCGGAAAGGAGTAAACTGTGGGTCTAGACAAAGTGCACTTTTTGATCGAATCGAAAATCGAATCCGTCAAAACTCCATACAAAAAAAAAAAGCTTTTCGACCACTTTTCGACTGGTTTGCGATTAAAATGTGCACTTTGTCTAGACCCACTGGGCACAGATTAAATAAAGTTATCCCTGCGCGTGCCCCGTCCAGACAGTGCTGGCCACTTACAAAAACAAAATAAAAAACCTTGTTCATAGCGCGCGTAAGCAATAAAACCTCTGTGAACGGTCAATATGGCACATAACAGAAAAGAAAAAGTTATCTAGCAAGAAGAAAAATAAGCTTTAAAGATGACCCACGCTGAACTGTCCCACCAAACTCAATGACAGGGGGGCGCTACCATCGTTCGACTATATGGTTTCCAACATGGCAAAAATCGGAACCAGCGATCCGGTATTGACGGTGGCGCCCCACTGTCAATGTCATGCATAGGACAGTTCAGTATTTTGGAACTATAAAATGTTTTTTTAATTTATGAGGAAAGTTACTGTCACACACAAAGCAAACGCTCAATTTGGGTCAATACAGTACTTATTATTATTCTGTGTCAATACTCATAATTTTTATTCTATGAACGATCTTGATAAAATGGCTTTGGCTTAAATAGCGCGAATGCTTAAACCAATCCCAAGCAAAATAATTGATAATTCAACAAATAAGTAATTACAACTGTTCGACTCCTTAACTAATCAGAGTTAACTTGAGATCGCTCTCGGAGCAGTGAGATCCAGTTCCGACAGTTTTGCGAAGTTCCTACTTCGCGCTACTCATCGGATATCAGCGTCAAATGGTTTTGCCAAGATTCGGACTTTGGCTGTTGAGCGTTATTACTTGATAAATTCCGGTTTATATGGATAGAGTTCCGATGAAAGTTTATTTGGCTTACACTCTGTATCTTTGTTATAAAACGGCCATTCTCAGATGAGCTAGTTTTTGCGTGTCCGGGCTGTTAAATCGTTAAAAATGACAAATTAGAGGCATGCAAGTATTTTTATATGTTACTTCACAACCCTATCTAGTTGTGCATTAAATCATAGGCCTTTATTTGAAGTATTTGTGTCTAAATTAATTTCATGAACCTCTGTTCTCTAATTACCGTTACGTGTCCGCACACCGACTTAATGTTAAAAGTTGGCTGTAATTTTTATGTCGTAAAGATTCNTTAGTCAGCTGGCTTTCCCCAATAGAGTTGTCTCTTGCGAACACTTTGGAGCCTTGGTTCCGCTCTATCGCCTCTTTAATACTGTTGGTATTAAAGTTGCGAATATCGTGTCGCAAGGACTTCCTTATCTGTCTATTGAGCTGCCTATATGCCTTAGCGTCAACGGAGGTCTGCAGTGTCATTAGGCGTCGTTCTTGCATGAGGTTGAGGGTGTGGTCGGTCAACTTTTGCGGCCTGTTTTTGCGACGAGGTCTGAAGAATTTAGACCCAGCTGTTTGGACATTTTCAACGAACCCGTTATTAATCTCGTCCACTGACTCGCAGTTTTCCAGACATGCAAAGCCATTTGATAACTCGAGCTGAAAGCTCTCGGGGCAGTGAATATGGGAATTTAAGGGTCGGAGCGTAGACGTAGAATTTTACATAAGCTATGGAATTAACATCGATTGATAATTTGATACTAGTTCATTAATACAATAACTGTGAAAAATTATGAAAGGGATCGCGGTCAAGTTCAAGTATTCACATTTAAAAAGGGATTCTCACGATATTCCATTTAGTGTGTAAAATAAAATAAAATATTTTTTTACGTCCTTGAAACACTCTCAAGCGAGTGCAGCAACTGTGGCAAGCGAGTTTTGAGAAATCTTTGAATGCAGGAAGGAATGTTCTCTTTGAGTAAAATTTTCTATTTATTTATTTAGAAAGCTATTTGAGGGCTTACAGAGAGAGAATCCAATGCTCCAACAAGTTATACATAGCAAATAATATAAATTAAAAATTTCATAGTGCACAATTGTCAAGTAAAACGATATTAAAGTCAGTCAAATCAACAGTATTAAGAGTACTTTCACCTGAAGGGTGACATTACAAAATTCCACCTTGTATACAGTACAATAATGTCCTGGCAACTGTAAAACGCCCGAAAACATGGCCACTTTGCATATTGACTGGTCAAAGATAAAAAGCCTGCTTTGATTTACCTTTAGTTAATCAGTGACGATGGAAGACGTTGCTCGATCCAGAAATGTCAAGTGAAGTGAATACGTAGATGATCGTGAAATTTATACAAGAAGACGTGGAAGTTAATAAGTACTTAATAAGTCTGATTGTTCCTCATTTAGCCGAGATAGTACTATCAACAACTAGTAACTAGGTAATTAGTTGTCTAATAGGTTATTATAGTTACATCACTAATTTTAAGCATGGTAACTTTTTTATTACTGGCCGCTTTTAAACGAAATAAGTGTCTAAAAGCAATAGCTATGATAATATGAAGTCCGCTTCAAGTATTTTGGTGTTCATATTAGAAGCACATATCATAGCAAAGAATTTGAAAGAGCAGTGTAGCTTACAATTATTATGACGAAGCAAAGTGCTTAGAGTAAATCGCAACTACCATTATTATGATGTCTCTTGCAGTGCAGATGGTAATTAGATGTCAATATGGAACTAAATTAATTATTAACTGTAATTACTATCAACTCAATAGCAATAGCAAGGCCTAAACCATAAGGGAGAGTCCGGTAAATTGGACCAGGTTTTTTCAATCCCATTTTACACATAGTTTTCTTTTGTTTTTGCTAATGTTCATGGTATATAATTAAAGATAAATTATTCAACTTACTATTTCATAGGTATTCATCAACACAATTGTTGTATATTTAGCACAAATCAACAAAATACGAGTTCAGAGCATCGGTCCAATTTAGCTAACCGGTTCGATAATTTGTACCACTTCGTTACGAAATTGGATTTCAATAAATTTCAAGCCTATAAAAAATCTATGGCAAAATATTATACGATACATTCTTAACAAATTAGGTAACGAAAAGGAACAGTAGTTAATAACATAGACAATCGATATTGTTTTACACGTTATCACGATTTTGAGTAAAAGTTTTGTAATTCCAATTATCGTAACGCACACTTGTACCTAATCTACTTTGCCACTCTTTTGCTTTCATTTATTGTTAGTCAAACATAACTACGCTATTACAAGTTCAAAATATGATTTACTAAAAAAATTTCAAAATCCTTTGATAAAGTTCCATACAACTTGATTTGGTACAATTTAGCCGACTAGGTGATAGTGTTTTTAAAAAATCAGTAAAAAATATAGCTTATAAATACCGAAAAATGTTTCAAATAATTGTAATCCACACTAATTTACGCTTCTAAATAATATATTAGAAACACTCTGTGATTAAATTTAACAAAATTACAAACTAAACATGAATTGTCAAAAGTTACTTGAAAGCAATGAAAAAATACTTTTCAAAATAAAACACACGTGTTCGTTGTCACGGCAAAAACTACATGGCCGATATTAATTGAATTTAGTTGTGTATCGCTGAGTGTTGCAATTACAGACATTCAATAAATACTTTACGAAATATGAGGGTGGTACAATTTACCCGGCGGTACAATATACCGAACTCTCCCCTATAATTCAATATCTGTTCCCGTTAATTGGATGACATATGCAACAATACAGTTTGTTTAATTAGCATGGCGGTCAAACAATGTAATTATCCACAAGTCGCTGCGCTGGAACGATGCAAAAGCAATTATGTATCTTGTCAAATCAATGACTCTAATGAGGTGTCGTTATTTGATAATATTAACTATCATCATCATCATTTCAGCCATTGGACGACCACTGCAGAACATAGGCATCCTGATTTCCATAAATGATTTTGCTGTTAGCTAAGTTTACATAATTTCATAATAATTTAGGTATTTCATTAACTTTGTACTTATACCTGTGCTTATACGACTAATTCATACAATTTTGGCTGAATAACTGTCGTTTACAGGTTGGTTAGTAAACAGCAGACGGCGGCGTTGGCTTTTCTTAAGTGTTTAATCGTTATCAATTTAATCACTATTAATTTATCGGCTAACTAGCGGCCGCCTGCGACTTCGTACGCGTGGATCCCGTTTTACCCCCTTAGGGGTGGAGTTTCGTAAAATCCTTTCTTAGCGGATGCCTACGTCATAACATTTACCTGCATGCCAAATCTCAGCCCGATCCGTCCAGTGGTTTGGGCTGTGCGTTGATAGATAACTATGTCAGTCAGTCAGTCAGTCACCTTTGAGTTATAGTATACATATTTAAATGTGCCTCTTGCTTGTGACACTTCTGCATGATGATGAGTAGATGCCCTCTCGGTGACAATGTTATTGTTTTCGTGTCACTGTATAAGAGAAATATAATATCCATTTATGATACAAATAATTATTTTTTTTACAGTTGCCGGCCCTAATTGAAATAAAAAAAAATCTGAGATGTCACCACGAGCATGAAACAACAACTATGTAGGTAGTCAAAGTGGAGCCTTATACGCATGGACTATAGTTAATTGAACGCTTGCGTACCACATAATTTATACTTCAGCGAGTTTGCACTGACTACGAATTTGCTTGGACCCACAACTAAAGATAATACAGTAAAATCACTGGCTTCGAATTTTATCTATATCACTATTTAGAAACGAAAAACCAATAAATGTTTTACTCCCTTTTTCAAAATTTTAAAATATGTTTCTATCTTTGAGCGTTCCGAATCCAAAATTAAATTATCGCAGCTTTGAGAATAACTACCTGACTTCATGCATTGTACAATTTATATCAAACAATTTGGTACCTACACCATGGAATTCTATACTTAATAGTTGGCTAAGGCTGTGCTGATAGTTTCTAATTATTGTTTGCTAGAGGTTCTGAGTTTCCAGGGAACTCAAAGGCTCAATTCCATACTATTAGGATGTCAGGAACTAAGTATTCCCTGCTCATACTCTATTTGTTAATGATTTCAGAATTAGTTGAAACTGAAGCTAAACCTAATCTAATATTGATATTAAAATATAATTTTGATATGTAATATTTTAACTCTTATATTGAAACACGCATTCCTGATAAGCAACAACTGAGTTAACAAACCAATACTTGGAAATATTATTCAAAATAAAGTCTTCATATTATAACTTCACTGAAGAAGGCACTTCTCTGTAAATGATTTCAGTTTGAAATTAAATTCATCGTCTCCCGTTTGAACAAGTTTCAACGATTGAAAACTACGAAGAGCAGGATAATTAAATATGTCAACGGATGGACATATCGAAATGTAAATTTTTCAGTGTGGCTGCATACAGAGAAAAATAATGGAAATAACTGGAACAGATTCTGTAGAAAATGCATATTTAAAACTTATATAACTTATATAAAATAGATTAGAAGATAAAATAAGCATTTTAGTTAAAATTAAAATTGTCTCTCCCTGTAGCGGAGAATAATGTTGTGACAGGCTTTTGTTCAAACGATCATAGCAAAAGATAGGGATAGAGACATGTGATTTTTGGTTTTACAAAGATAATACGATAGAGAATAATACAAAGTAATAAAAACCACCTGTTATAGGGGCATTTTTTGGAGAAATTTATCAAATAACCAAAAAAACACGAATTTAAAAGCAGATTTTTTTCTTTACTATAAGTAATTGGTAGAAAAAAAAATCTATATTTTTTTTAAATCTCCAAAATTTTTTTACCTGTTTTTTGTCGATAAAAATAGGTCAAGTTTTATCTATTATCATAATGTACACTTTAACGTGACTCACACTGTATGTGTATAGATAAAACTTTACATTGATAACAACGTTTTGACAATAATGACCTAAGATTTGACAATAATGACATAAGATTTGACAGTAATGACATAAGATTTTTGCCTCACTTTTGACGAAGTGTGTGTATGAAGACTAAACTATCTAGGCTATATTAATCTAAGGTGCCAGGAGAGAACTATAGCGGTTTAAAGTTTGTTTGCTGCAAGATTATTGAAAAACGTAAGATTTGTGTGCCTGAACATATTTATTTGGTTTGGTTGTTTTCTATCGTTACCTAAACATTTACAGAAAGACATTCATCTTTTCATTTATGTTCTCAGCAAACATTCTTAAGTATATGTGAATGTAAAAATATCTTCCTTTTATAAGCCTCTCACAACAGTATTATAGATTTAAAGGATCATGCTTTGAAGTTCAGCACAGTAGCACTGAAACAGGCTAATCCAATACCTTTATGTACTTAAACCTTTATGTACTTATCTTTTGAAAATCTCATTGTTATAGAAAATGTCGTTTGAAGGTGATGCTTTCGACCTACTCTGAATTCATCTTGTGTATAAAAATGTTTCTTGTTGATATATCTTATTAACAAAATAGACCTTTTTATGAAAATAGCCTGTAATAATTTTTCTAGGAACAATTTCGTGGTGAATAAAAGTAACTGTCCAAATGAACAATATCTGTAGGTACAATATGTTTTTTGAGTATAGTTTACAAGTTTCATCATCATCATCATTTCAGCTATAGGACGCCCACTGCTAAGCAGAGGCCTCCCGCATTAATTTCCATATTAACCGGTTGGTAGCGGCCTGCATCCAGCGCCTTCCTAGGTACTACCTTTATGAGGCTGTTGGTCCACCACTGTTACAAGTTTATGAGCAGCTAAGTTAATCTTTCAAGAAGAGAGCGTATTAATGCACTCGTATGTAATGTCTCCGTGCCTGAGGGTGTCTATGGGCGACGGTAATCATTTATTACCATCAGGTGATCCGTCTGCCGTTTTCCTTCTGTCCCATAAAAAACTGTTTTGACTTTTCCCGTTTTTATTTCAGCACTTTTAAACATAAATTATTATTTTTTGAAAATTTTTGTAGACTCTTCCACCAAATCATTAGTTTTTAGGTCACTGTATTAAACTGGAATTATTTGGAAAGGAAACTCCACGTGTCCTATCGGAAACAAATCTAAAACGCGCGCAGTAGTTTTCGACCGAAACTGAAAGACTAGTGGTGTATGTTATGTAATCACTCGATAAATGTATCGATATTTTACACCACACAGACACAATTATCGATATATCTTTATGGGAAACTAGCTGACCCGGCGAACTTTGTTCCGCCTTAATGGCAATAAATAAGCAGACTTTTTTTTTTCGAACGGGATAAAAAG